GGGATTTTAGTGCGCATATTTGTTAGCGCATGTAGCATAGTGACAATAAATCGTACCAACATCGTTCTACAATTAATCGTTTTAGTAATAGTATTAGTCGATAGTAAAGCGAAAATGTGTGGTTCACAGTCGATCTGTTTTTTGTTGTTGAGAAAAATGCGGTAGAATAATGCAAATATGCAAATGAAGTATACATAGTTCAATTTGTACTATAAACACATAACCAACAACAGATGGCTATCAGTTAATTGCGAGGTTGAGGGCGTATACCCGTTTGAGTATGTTAGGCTTGCACATTCAATGAAATTGACACGGTTACGTGGGAGACACTGTGAAACAAATGGTAGCCAGTCTTTAATGAAAGGTGACTGCGTTGCACGTAGCCGGGGCAAAATCAATATAATTAAAATACGGTATATATATCTAAATTAAACAAGGATAAATACATCGACAAACTGACATTTTATTTCCGTCATGAATAAGAATTGACAAATACGACTGTTGCGAATTATAAATCAGCAGTGTTTACGTCACTCGAGGGACGAAAACTCTATCCCGTGTCGATGCATTTTTCACACAATATACAACTGTACAGACACGGTATAGACAGTAACAGGTTACAGCAGAAAATTCGAACAACTTAAGAAATTGCCCTTAACCTAGTAATTATAGAGAGCTTCAATACCGCCCGTTCAAGCATGGTGCCACGTTTGGGGAAACACGCGCGCTTGAGTGTGAACAACGTGGATTATTGTGTCCTATTTCATATATGCAAATATCTCAACAGGTTTGGTAACAGATGTCCTAATATGGTGGACACATAGTAGGATACATTTCAGTCATTTTGTTGTCTCTCTCTCTCTCTCGCGTGGATCAATCGTATTTGTTGCTGATGCTTCGGCTGTAGTGGTAAGAGTAGTTGTTGCGCAAACGTACTATAACCAAAGTAGACTTGGAAATCACACAACACAAAGATTACCACACAATAGAGGTGAGTTGGCGGGAAACAAACACGTTTACGGGTTATCGTATCGACATGAAAGACGGCGTGTTGTGATTTGGTGTATCAACTTTATGTTACATAGCTTAATTTAGCAAGAAGTAGATCGCCACTATTATTGATCAATTGATCAATCGGTTAGGATCTGCCACTAAGCTAACAACTCTCCTTTTTTTTCAATGTTCCAATGTTTGATTTCAATGTTGCTTTTGTGTGCCATCTACAGCTGTCACTACACTCACCGACAATACCCGGTGTGTTGGCATTATCACTGTTGAGTAAAACATCTCTTCTCTGTCTCTCATAGTCTCAGTTGTTAGATAACAAGGAGATTGCGACCTAATCACGATTTTAAAATATATTCATATTATGGCATTCTTAATAATAATGTAGAACTAGAACTTAAATATGCAAATATTGCTGTGGCCATTTATTTCAAATGTCATGTTAATAATAAAACTCAAATTAATATACATGCTTCAAATACATAATAGGTAACATGATATAGTTCGGAGTCAAATCATAACGAAAAAGGGATATTTTATATGTGGGAAGATAGTTAATGAATAAACCAGTCAATTATTATTTTGTTTTTTGTCATTTTATTTATACCCTGACTAAAGCAAATCATCGGCCCGGTAAAATGGCGTACGAACACATTATGATTAGCACTGTGTATTCCGCGTTGGCTATTTTTTTAAGTACGTGAAAAGTACTTCGAAGATGCTCTTGAAATTTAGTTTTTTTTCAGACTGTCGCCTGCTGTGTGTCTCACTGGTGATACTTCTTTCTTTAAATTGCGCCACCTGGAAACGAAATGCGCCTATGACGTAATTGGGCGATACAAATAACGTTAAAAACCTGAGCGTCGTAATTACTTGTTGTCACATGTAGTCGTATATAAATGAAAATCGTGTTTTTAGTATATTTACTAAATTCTAGGTGACAACTAGACACAGTTGTCGGTTTAAACGACATTGTATTCACCCATAAACCTCATTTTGACGTAGTCATAGTAACGTGTGTGTGATAGAAAGATACCATTATGCGGACAACGTTGATTTCATGATGAAATCCATGAATAATATTATTAATGAGATGTTGTCTTCACAGTGATTGTTAGGTATGGTTATATATATACACCATCAATAGTATATCTGACGTAGATGAGTATTTTCAGTCATGGTAGATAAGTAGAGGTGACCTCATGCCTGACCCTGCGTTATCAGATTTACTATGGTATGGTATGCAGGTTTATAATGTCCTGAAAATATGCGTTTTATTTTGCGTTTGTTTTGCGTTTGTGTTGGTTTCACGCTGTATACACTGCTTTAATCATGTGTATTATGATGCTTGCTTGACAATATCTTCGTTTCGGTTCTTTAGTTAGTGGGCAGTTTCAACCTTAAAGCGGGAGGGTCGTCACCTGCGCACGCGCGGCAATTGAGTCCCAAGCAACAATAACAACACACGCTAAAAACGTAAAGGCTCATGGGTAGTCACTTGTTTGTAAACAATGACACGTTATGGCCATCTAACGCATGCGCAGGTGACGGCTCCCCCGCTTTAAATAGCTCCTCGAATTTTGATTTATTTATTCTTATTGTGTTAATCCAAAATAATACATTCATGAGGAAGATGGCATATAATCAACACAAATCTCCGCACAAACCCCGAACGTTAAAAACACAAACTCGCTTTTTAGCTAATTTGCATAAAAGCTAGCCGTTTCATGATTCCCGTTACCGTCAGCTTGTTAATCCACACGCGATTGAAGAATGTGTTAATTGAGCCGTCAGTATAGTAACGGTTTCGGGGATGCGTTGGCAGCTTGAATACTACATTACACATGGCGTTAATTCAGGCTGTAGACTTTACACACTCAGTGAGAGTAAGCGGATTTTATACATGGGTTAAAGGACGGTGGTCGTCGCACCACGTATGCGCGAGATATGGGTAACTTATAAACAAAGATGGTGACTTTGACTGTTGCACAGGCTATTGAGTAAAACTGAGAAGTTACTTTAATCGCTTAAATATTGATGACTGACTGGACGGTATCGTAGGTGTCACCTTTGGTAATTAGTGCGAGTGGCGCTCAGGTCAAAACCCGTACCCGTGATTCCATTAGAAAAGCGCATTGGATTGTGGGGAAATCAATATTTATCAACACAAATGTCGCACATGAGCAGCGTGACGACTACCGCTCTTTAAACACACTTTTGTGCGTGGACAAGCGAAGACTGGGAGAATTTGGTGTGACATCTGACACTAACAGAAATATTCGAATTTATATAATTCCTAGTAATCCTTCAAATAATTTTACGTAAAACCTCTAACATATCGACCTCGTCAACCACGGCGTCAACAGTTCTAATTGAATTGACCAATCAGACTACTAGGATGGTTATTACATAGCATACACCGTTATTGCACGTCACGGCCGTGTTCCATGGTGGCATAGTTGTTATTATAACACAGAATTACATTTGCGGTGTTTTGATACAAGCGTCCCAGACATAATCATAAACTAATGAGTGCGCATGATCGAGCATAAACCAATGCAATGAAAAGTACATTTACTGTATTTTAAACCACGGGAGGGAATAATCTAGCACGACTCACGTAAAGCAATAATTTTGTAAGTTGATCCTGATTTCCAACGACGTGGTTACATTGCTCTTACCTAATTGGCCAACCAATTGACGTTTTTTGTATTCTGTGCCCTGTATTTCCGTCAACTTCTACTGTTGCCACATTTCACTGAGTGAAGCGGGTTTTTTTAATAATATTTCTAAAAAAAACAATTAGCGAAGTTTTGCAATATAATTTGCGTGAAAATTCACCGTTAATGTTTTGACCCACTGAACTATGAACCCGAATTTACGACCTACTATGACCCAGCTGTCTACAGTTACCTAATACGACTCGCGATTAGCACCGAAGCTGCTTTTATTCTGCCGTGCCCGCTCGGTAATAATCTACAGCGGCATGTCCTTGAAACCATCACACACGACACGCGCTGCATGGATTAAGTTGCTATGATTTTTTCGACATTATATCCGGTGAATTTATATTGTACAATTATATTATACAGAGAATATTGACCAAATATGGAATGGTCTTGAACTAGTCTGCACGTTTTGTGTGTTTTTAGTGACGAGAGATATAGTGTTCCATGCAGCCGCGTTCGAATTTTGTTCGTGACGTAAGCGGTAACCGCCTCGTACATACAAACAAATGACCCAAACCAGTGAAGCATTTTATAAGTATTCCGCCGTGTTTCAAATCAAACATTGCATATCGTGTCGCGATGTGATATTTGGAGGACGATTCTTTATTACACAACTGGCCACGAACGAGCCAACAGATTGTATGACGTAGACAGACAATGAATACCACGTGCCACTGAAGGTCATTTGCATGTTATGTATAAATAGGAGTACCAGACAAGTTTAGTTTTTTGTGTGTATGTAAAGCTATGAAAGTTATATTTAGTTTACCTAAGAATGTAGTATTCATACAATGAATGCCGGTCGAACATATCTAGCTGCCCTTGACTATCTCAAATATAACAATCTGGGAACAAGATCTACGTTGCAAATTATGATTAAAAATTTACACTGCCCGTTGCTTAGCGATCATATGATATGATATCAGTGGCAGGTGTGGTCACTGTTGCTAAGATACCACTGTCAGGCACTTATTGTTCCGTTTAGTGACAGTTTGATGGATGTACATGAGACTCCCATTCATGCCGTCGACAAACTTGTCTATAACGAGCACATTTTATTATTATTATTCTTTGTTTGTTTCAATGTATTTTGTAAACTGTATGACATAATTCTTGTTCATTTTTGTGATCAAATGGTGATTCCATATCTATATAATTATGTTGTTTAATGATTTCAGATACTCGTGGAAATTGCATACTAATTAAATGACACATGGCGTAACACGTACTATTTTATTCGTCCGTAATTTGTAAAAAGATCTTATATTTTGTAAGCGTATGAAGCATTTTCCAAAATAAATTGCGTATTTCGTACACAATTAAGAATTTTGATTCTTAAACACAAATTATCAAAACTAGTATAAAATGTAAAATGTAATTAGGAATTTGCTTTATCTGTAAAATATGAAACCCAATTCGTTACTGTAAGTGGAACTTTCATTTTATTTCCTGTAAAAACGTACAATGCCATTTTTTTTCCTGTAAACTGTACCAGCTATTCCCCCTTGCCTCCCCTCGTCATAATATACCCTTAATAATAAGTCGCGCTTACTGCCGACGGATCGCTTCTGTGACGTTGAAATTACGCATATGGCTGAAAGCTGCATTGTTGATGAGCAATGCACTGTTTAGAATTTAACAAATCTCTCGAAAGCAATATTTATTTTGTTGATGGACGGCCATCGCTAGAGGGCGAAAATCGATCCAATAAGCCAGTTCACGGGCCGCCATTTTGAATTTAATAATGAGAGATTTCCCATGAAGCAATACAAGGTCAAAGTTTGTACACAATCTCACACGTTCACTGGCACAATGGAATGTAATACGCAGTGAATTTAATGTTTTTTTTGTGTTTTTTTTTCTACTTAATCCAATGTTTTTCTTTAATTTATTCATTTCTTATTATTATTATTTTGATTTATTGTTATTATTGCAGCAAGATAAATAACAGATACATGACAAAATAAAAAGTCATTTTTATACATCTGTCACCGTAACGACATAAGTTACAGCGTGCCGTGATTTTGCGGTATTTTCAATCCTACCATATAAGAAATGCGAATTCCAAATATGGAACGATTACTCGCAGTATGGAAGCGTCCTCTAATAATAAAAACTAACATGGCTACCCCAGGGTTTGACCGGACCCCACACAAAAGAGTTCGCCAAGTACTTAGTATGTTCTAAACGTTTTGAAATTCGGCATTTCAATGATGTATCCATTTGTACTGTCTTCGTGCACACTTTGCAGTATCCTCGTATTAACCTCATATTACATTACAAAAAGCAAAAACAAAATAGTACAAAAAGTGCAGCCAAGCCAAAAAGAGACACATTTAGATTAATAATAAAAAAAATATAATAATAAAAATCTGTAATACTTCAGTTAGAAATAACGTGGCATGCAAAAAGACACATAATATTCCACTTCCTGTGTCTGTTGTACAAACTTAATTTAACAAATTGTGGTAATATACCATTACATCAGGCATGGTATAGAAAACTCCTCCCCAATAATACAAGAAATTTGACCAGTTCCGGCAAAGCAGAGTCCTCCGACAGAATTTGCTCTGATGATAGATCTGTAGAATAAACATCGAGTGTTGTCAAGAATCTATTAGTGATTCTACGATCATAAAAACGTGATTTAAAGTCTCATTCTCATTCCCACAGAAAGTACATAGCAGAGATGGAACTGTAACAATTTTAAATAATTTAATGTTTGTCATCAGAATTTTATGTAACAGCTTCCATTAAAATGTTCTTAATTTATTATCCTGTGTCTGAGGCATACTGTAGAATACTTCATTTCAGCTGGAATTAATTTTCGTTGGAAAGACTTACTTTTTTGGTGTTTTGTATGTAATTTATTTTCACAGATTTTTGACAAGTTAAATATAAAATATAGGAAAAAGGTATATTCGCTGGATTTTATTTTTACAGAATCATTCCTTCAGCGAAAATTAATTCCAAGCGAAAATAAAGTATTTTACAGTACTGTATGCTATTACATTGTTAACAGTAGTCTTTAGTTCATTATGATGGAGGAATAAAATTGCCAATTACAATTTCTGACGTGATTTGATTATTATAACACTGTACTAGATTCAAGGTATGCTCCGAGTCGTGTAGAATTGTATCATACATTGTTTTGGTTGAAAACACTGGTATATCGATACCACGACGCCGTCCACTGGGCAGTGAATTAATGTTCAATATTATGGTCAACTGCATTATTGTATATACGTGTTTTTATCGTTGATGCAACTTTAATCTTACGATTATCAACGTGTCCATATGTGTTTTACTCCGTAGGTATGCATTCCGTACACAGCAAAGATCATTTTTAGTATTACTTGAATAGGTTATTTGCCATTCACTGTGAGATATCGCGCATGGAAAATTTGATTTGATTTTGAACTTGAATTTTTTGAAAGCTTATCTTTCAGAGAGGAATATGGCGTTGACATTCCCTTACTTCGTTAAAATTTACCCTTATCATATATGTATAACACAATATTAAACACCTTAAAAAAAATTCCACGTTTGTCGAATCCCACGCGATGTTTTGACGCACCTATGACGCTTTGACATTTGTCCTGTTTTACGCTTGATTTTAATAACACGAGATCTCGCAGTGGGCGAGAAATGGTCTATTAACAATATTTTCAAACGCGTCTAAAATAAATTGCTTGTTTACGCGAAATTCGAACACGCTACGCGATGACTGTATTGCTTTAACTTTTTATGACTCCTAAATATTCAGTATTTTCAGATGAAGATGCGAGTGACGAGAAATTTCTGCATTTTGGCAGCTTTACTCCCTGCCTCGATATTACTTCAACAATACATGGTATCAAAACACAGGCGTGCAATCGTCCCATCAGGTAAGTCAATCACCACGGTGAATGGAAGAGCTAAACAGTGACAGCTTGGATCGCAGTGGTTTAATCTATCGTTCGTGTTTGATATTAGAACAAAACAAAACAGAGGCAAATAGAAAATAGAAAAAAAAACAGAAATCACACCCGGTACTATGATATCGCAACTATGGTTGTTTTATTTGCATACTAGCAGATAATATGAAAAAACAACGGGTGGTGAGCGGTACAACATATGTAGATACGATCCCTATTACATTCATGGCAATGTCATTATATATAGAACAGGTTATATCACTGTGGTTATACGATGTATTCGGGCAAAATGAAAATCTGTGAACCAAATTAACGGCTGTCAGAAGAACGCCATCATGATAAGGTAGAAGCCTACTCATGATTTCAAATACCAATAATATATTCGTTTTCCGATAAAATGTCCTTCCGGGCAATATACTGGGATATTGACTTTAAAATGTTGGGGGTCACCAGCTTAATTTTCGAGAAAACTATGGTTGTATTTTAGTGAATTTTGGCCATTTTGGCAATATTATAGTGATGTTATCATATGTTACTCTAATGTCAGAGACATGTCCCATCTCAAATATAGGCTGGTGACACACAAATTATATGTTGCGAATTATGAGGTACTTTTTGTTGTCCTCGATTATTTAAAAAATCTGAGTTTTAAATAGTGAAACAAAATATGCCATTTTCCTTAACATTTTACTATGGGATTGTCTAAAAAGAGCGTGAAAAAATATTAGAACATGTTTTTTCAAAATACATCACTGTAACACACACAAGTATGCTAGTTCAGAGTGCCTGCTTCATGATATTACACAATAAATCAATGAACATTGTCATGTAATTTATGACCACGTTTCTCAAAAATTATGAGTAGCCTGCTCTACCTTTAAGTCATGAATACAATTGAGGGAATACTCGACGGGGACTGAGCAAATGTACTCAACACGTTTTCTAGGTATATTTCAACAATCAGTATCATTGTATATAGTGGTGTATTTTTTGTGTTACCGTGCAAAGATGGTATGGTCCCAGTTATTCTTTGTTCATGATGACTAGGAATTACACCCACCAAGAGGAATCGTGGTGCGATTTTCCTGGGTGTCTGTTCTGCTGTGCAGAACAAGATGGTTACCCAAACCGTTTGATATTTTTCTTTGTCTCTCAAAATGTTACGAGTTCAGAATTGAAGTATAGGCATTTCATTTCTTCTTTATTTCTAAATTTATATATGCGTTTCACTTATTCAAAAATAAATAAATGTATTTAAAGGAACTGGGTGATCACCATTTACCCAAAGAGCGCCCACCACTGGCACTTGTGTGAGTTTGTTCGTGTTTGAATGTTTCACGTTTGAAAATTCTTTTCTTTGTTTTGTTTATTTGACAGAGGATGATAACTACGTAGAATCAAACAGCCAGTCAGCAGGTAAATATAGTGATGTCATACATGCCAAATTCAGTAAATTGTGAACATTATTTAATAATAAATGTATATTTACACTTTCTGACGAGATCTTGTATGGAACGAGTTTTGAACGTTCGGAATCGCGTGATAAAGGAAACTTTCCTGTTATTACTGGTAGTGCAGTTCTAGGGAAAGTCCAATTCACTATTTCTTTGTATTTTTCTGACTAGTCCACCATGGTCACGGTCTTTTATAATTTCTTGAACTGAAAAAATAAAAAAAAAAACATTTCTTTAAGCTGAGGGAATATCGCGCCCACATACTGCCAGTAATCTAAGAATGACTTTCGTTGAGAATCGACTTCATTTGAATAATAATGAAAATAAATGTTAAACAAATAACATCAAAATAATATCGGGTCTTAATATTTTTGCCTGGAAAAAATATGCCCTTTTTTGTAACAATTTCGCAATCGTGATTTATCTCACAAATTCACGCGAGATCTCGCAAGGCGCTGGAAATGATCTATTTGAATTTTCTTGTATTTCGGTGATTCACTATTACTAATGTCGTTCTTATTTAGTCGTTCGCCATTTTGAACAGAATATATCTCTCATATATAGTCCACGGTTACTAACCGTGATTAATCGACAGTTGATTTCAAATCAAACAAAAATCAACGCTATTAAGTATTAATGTGACAGGCCTTTCACCCATTTACATGAGATCACATGGACGCTTTTTCGCTAGAAGCGTGACTTGTAGAAACGCCGCAATGCACATCGGGAATAAACATGCTGTTTACATTCAGCGAGCAAATCAAACATTAGGTAGAAGCACAGTCCCTCTAGAGGGACTGTGGTAGAAGGTTGTAGATAAAATCATGCAAGGTCAATTTCTTTTCCCTCTATTTATATTAATTACTGCATAATATTATTTTATAATTAGTTATGAAAAATGACGAACGTTAAATAAGTGTTTATGCCTGGTTACGTAATCCTTACAAAAATATTGGTGCAACCGCCGCGGCACATCAAATAGTCTGACAAATATTTGCACTAGTTTGATTTCGTGAGAGCTTGTTTTCACCCGCTGAACAGCAAGTTTCAGTATGGGGCTTGAATACATCACCTCTACTATTTAATTTTACCTCCTTTAAACTCTATATATGATATGTACATGAACTACGAACCACGGGTGACATCGTTTCATTGGGGAGGGGTGTGTCCCCTCCCTATGCCATGCACTTTCTGTCAGCAATATGCTGCTATGTTGAATAACGTACACCCTTTTGTACATTCAGAAATTAACGGAGGCGATGACGTACAGCCGCCTGTGAGCATGGATACACGGATCGGTAAGCTGTTAGGTTGTTAGGTTAGGGTATTGCGTGACGTCACGTTACTATTAGTTTGCATGACAACTATGATGACAAATGAGAGGAACGCACTTTGTGCATGCGATCACGTAATAATAATAATAATAATAATAATAATAATCATATATAATCAAGGATCATAATTGGCGCCCCCAGTGTGCTATTCGAGAAATAAAGATTCACAGTATGTTTTTTTATTTGTTTTGTTTTTCTACTCAGATGCAAATAATCCACCCGAAGAACACGTTGATGTCAAACAATACTTTACAACTGCATCGCCTGGTCAAAAAAGTAGGTTTTCTGTTGTTATTGTTGTTGTCGTTGTTATTGTTGTCGTTGTTATGCTTATTTCGATTGGTCTCGGGTAAATGCGTGATTGTGATGTGTGTTTCGTAACAGCTAAGTATGAATGTAATACATGCACATCAATTCCAACACGGAACGCGTAGTAAAGTACAGCTATGTTTATTGTTCGCTCATTTTTATATTATTATGAACAAATTGCGAGAACAGCGCCCTCAATGGTCAACTAAATATTATCATACGAGACCAGAGAGGGCGCTATAGTTTCAATGAAAAGGTCGATAGCTGCTTTATACGATTACATCCCTGGCGCACACAGTGTGTAGAAGCTCAACACACCATCGGTAAAATGTGACACGAGTCAACAGTAGTTATCTTCTGTTTACCAGACGTTTCGTCGTACCGAAGACCTCAAATTAATGTTTCCGAATAATTAACGACAGAACGTGTGACGCTTTTTTCATTTTGCAGAAGTTGATGAGAATGAACCCAAAGAATACGACAACCCTAACAAGTATCTGATTGACGAGAAACCTGAGGTTAAACGTATGTATATTCTTTTGAATAGGATAACTGTATTACTATTGGAATAAACGGTTCAAAGCCTAATGAAATGCGTCCATCCTCATGTAGATCATTTCCGTTTACTACGAGATCCCGAGTTATGCGTGAAATGGAAAGTAAAACAGTACAAACGAGAGTCACAGTATCGTAGTGGCATCAACGCATCACGTTGAATTCGACAAACTCGAAAATATTTTCGTGCTTAAGTAGGGGGTACTCCACAGCAGTATTCCGCTATCAGTTATCGACATTGAGCTATAAAAACATAATTTCAAGTTAAAAATCCTGGCAAACACTTTGAATAACGAGACAGGAGCCTTATGTTACACTTAGTGGCGACTGAAACAGTGATAACTTATTTGAACCTCGGTTTCGAATAACTGAGAAAGGTAGTTTTCTTTATTAAATATATCTCCTTCTCTATCGAATAAACTGATTAATAATTGAAAATACGTGTAAGATATCCTGCGTTTTCAAATGTATGTTTGCCAAACAGAAGAGTTTGTACGCATATGAAGAAAGTGTAAACATTCGTAATTTACTGAATTGTACAGTTGTATTGTATAGTCAGCTGCAGCCAATGGAGCTGCTCATCGGAAAAGCTGTTCCAAGGGATTTTTATTGAGGGCAGGGGATTTTTTTTTATTTTTTGTAGGGGGCGGGAAATATCAGTAAACCCCACCCCCACTTACATAAAAAATATCGCAGGGTGGGCAACACAGCCTTTAGGGCAGGGTATAATAAAAAAAAACGCATTGGGGGAAACAACATCTGCTAAATATGGACAGCCGTGTGCTATCAATAACTGAAAATGCGAGTTACCCACTGATCTGCTGAGTGGTTAATGTATTCAAGAAGCCCATATAGGCCAATGACTCGATGAATTACGCCACCAATCGGCACAGCAATGTAGGTACTGTCCCTGTGATATTCACCCGGAATATTCACAAACATTGTACTGAAACCAGTGTAAGTGAGGAATAGAGTTCATAACAGTTGTCATCACTATGAATGTACGAAGTTGATGTTACACCTCGGCAGCGGCTGTCTATCTGTTTAATGAGGGGAGGGGAAATGAAGATGAATTTGGTCAGCAGGAGGGCAAGAAAGGCAAGTTGGCGGTAGAAGAGTAGGCAAAAAAGTGTTTTTTTTTTAATGAGAGCATGGAAAAGATGAATTTGGTCAGCAGGTGGGGAAGATTTTTTTTTTTTCAGGTGGAGGGTAGCTTATGAACAGCTCTTAATTTCCCCCTCTTTCCTTTATATTAATTAGCATACTTCAAAAGGCTCATAAAATAAATGTTGTCCCAGAGAATTGACTATTTCAATTTATTGCTCGTTGGCTGCACCTGTATAGTGCCATTCCAAAGTTTAAAGGGCGGTGGTCGTCACGCCGCGCAAGTGCGACATTTTTGTTGATAAACAATGATTTTCCAACAACACAATGCGCTTTTCTTATAAAATCACGAATACTTTCCAATGCAACCACCAAACAAATTATCTAATTAACGTTTGGTAACCTCGCCGTCTTTGTTTATATGAGACTCATACCTCGCACGTACGCGGCACGACGACCACGCCCTTTATTTTTCCGGCTATTTATGGTTTATATGCAAGTGTGTCAACTTTCTTTGTGTAGGTTGTTCCACCTCATACAGTTTCCTTTTTAATCCTAGCAACTCTCATCGAACATGGAGAACATGACACTTCGGCTGAGCATCAACTCGAACCCCAAGACTTGGAAGACGATGACGACTACAAAGCGCATTCCCTCACAGTTCAAAAGATGCACGAGACGGAACCACGCCCTCAACCCGTCCAGAACGTGCCGCAGGCGGTTTCACACGAGCACCCAGCTGCGGCCAACCCACCAGTTATTCATCGGGATCACTTAGCAGATATGACCGACCAAGACAACAAATGGATAACCGTCGTGCCACCAGCTGTAAATAGTAAGTAAAAAAAACGTGCTACTACTAGTAGTTTATTTTCAAATAATGGTTCTCATTAATGTTTCTCATTAAAGCGGGAGAGTCGTCACAGGCGCATGCGTCAGATGGCCATAGCGTGTCATTGTTTACAAACAAGCGTCTACCCATGAGCCTTTGCATTTTTAGCATGTGTTGTTATCATCGCTTGGGACTCAATTCCCACGCGTGCGCAGGTGACGACCCTCCCGCATTAAACAAATCTCCCCTCTCGTTGCAGTCCCAGTAACGGACCTAGAAGAAGACCTTAATGCTCTCTTTCCCAAAGACCAAGTCATTGAATTCGAAGAAGATGATTCGTGGATGTGGGAGTCATCTGGTCGAGGTGAGATTTATGGATTGTTTCGGTTTTAAAAAACAGCTGTCTTTATTATACACTTGTGCGTAATTTTATATATTGTTCTCCGACGATCGCTGAAAAAATATTAGTAAGATTTTTTAAATTATTACCTTAATTATTTTGCAGACGATCCTTGTAGAGTCTGCTTGGCACCTGTACATTCTCGACCGTTGGTGGCGCTTGCCAGTGCACCGGGGTCTGGTAACACGTGGGCACGAAGCTTGTTGGAAAAAGCTACCGGCATTTACACGGGATCCGTTTACCGTGACAGAAGACTGTTTTACGGAGGTAAGGTCAACGACCTCGTTCTTGCGTAGTGTCCGGAGATGAGATGTGTCCGGATACGACGCGTGAGTTGGAAGCGGAGAATAACACCAGTCTGTGGTTCAGTCTGACTGACACTGATTGCTGAGAATACAAAATATTGTCAATGTCAACTTTGTTAAATCGTGCGTTGGTGATAAACACAAAATTGTAGCTCAAGTCTTTGCATATTTATGCGTGATTAAATAACAATTGCAAGTAACATATTACGACTTTCTAGTACTTTAATCCACTTTTCTAATGTGTTGACTGATTACTATAATGATTTATGTTTTGAAAAAAAAGACCAATAAGCGATCATTATACGGAAACATATATTTTTTTCCAGCTTTGGGACAAGAGTACAATCAGGCTATCAGGCTAATATTGACTTTCATTTTTTTTTTTGACACACCCAGGTTTCCATGGTGAGATGGTGGACTACAGCTACAAAAATACGCTTATCGTGAAAACGCACGCACGTGGTGAGCTGGCATCCAAGGAATTCGAGAAAGCAATCGTTTTGATACGTAATCCCTTTGATATGATAGTAGGAGAATTACACAGAGTCTACAGTGCCAATCATTCCGTCATCAATTCTGCTGATGATATATTTCATCATCCTGGTGAGTTTTGTAAAAACATGTTTCCCGCCAAATTTTTAGTGTAACATTTTGTCTTTTTAAAGCATTTTCCATATTTTTTGAAAAGTTTGTACCAGATGGGCATAATTCGTCTTCATTCATAATTCGTCTCGATCAAAAATTTGTAAAACAAAAAATGTGTCAAAAATGTAACATTTTATTTTATGAATGCTGACAAAAGTTGACTTTGGCGCTCAAAAAGGGAGTCGTCACCTGCGCATGCGCGGCAGACGACCTGTTTACAAATAAGCGTTCTATCCATGAGCCTTTGCGTTTTAGCGTGTATTGTTATCGTCATGGAATGTGATTAATCGTCGATTCAAAACAACATGTATTCGAATCACGCTAGCATTCAAGTTGTTTATTTACTAGTATGTGAAATATTTGAGACTATAGTTAAGATGTGGAGGAATTGTTATTTGCAATCACCAACAGTGACGCCATTTATTCAAATTCGCGAGATTTAACAACTACTAGTAACTGTGGAATCTTTGTTCTTTCTAATCGACATCAAATAAAAACAACAGCAATAAAGTTATCCGGTTGAACTAGAGACGTCATTATCTTGATAATCCACGCGATATTACTACACGTACAATAATAATATCCGTGCGTTTTATATTTAGAATTCATACTTTTTTTTACCCTTTTTTCATCAGATTGGAAAAAGCACGTCTATCACCGACTTGAATGGTGGCAGGGTGTCCCTGAAGTGTGGCTTGCGTCCGGGAAACCCGTAATGTTTGTGCACTATGAAGATCTCCTTGACGATCCAGTGAAAGAAGTGAAACGTATGGTTGAATACCTAGGCCTTCAATTCGACGACTCGAGAGCGGACTGCATTAAGCAGGGAATAAACACGCGACTGCCGGTCACAGATAGCGATTATAAACAAGACGTAAAAGTAAATATATTCCGTGGACTTGACAGTGAAATGAAAAGCAAAATTCACGAAAAATTGGACATTGTATCAAAAAAATTAAGAGAAAAAGGTCATCCTGAAGTTGTGAGAAAGAGTATGTTTGAATAATTAAAGTTTGGGACTGACTAGCACGGTCGACGTGATGTATTTTGTTTTTACCCCGATTAATGTACTAGTAATTCAGCGGTGATAATCTATGGTGTAACCCCAATAATCTCGTACCACGCCCTCAACTTTAATACTAAGTATCACATTCAGCATGAGTTACTGCGCCCTTCCCGACGGACAAGGACGTAAATTATTAGTGAGTCTGACGATGAGGGCGCAACAATAACTCATCAACGCTGGCAGTACCATGGGCTTTTACCTATACTATATCTGAAAGGATAAATGCCCGTTGCATAGAACTGTATAGATGGTGTACTAGGATACACTTTTTAGCTTCGCTGTCGACTTTGTCGAGCGGAGCTTATTATATGAGTGATTGTCCGTCGTCGTCCGTGTCAATGTTTTACTTTTTTGACTTCTTCTTGAAAACTACAAGCCTGAATGCTTTGATACAAGTGTACATGTACCTTGGGTAGACCTCTCTTAGGTTTGTTCATTTCATGATGATATCTTCAATTCTCTAATTTTGGTGAATATTTTTGTCATTTTTGGTAAAAAGTTACAATTTCGACTTCTTGTTAAAAACCGAAAGATCAATTGCTTTGATATTACATATATAGGTACTACATGTGGACCGCTCTTAGATTTGTTCATTTTGTAATGATATCTTTAATTCTCTAATTTTGGAGAATATTTGTCATTTTTGGTAAAAAGTAATATTTTCGACTTCTTGTTGAAAATCGTAAGTCCAGTTGCTTTGATTTTACACATATAGGCACTAAATGTGGACCTCTTTCAGATTTGTTAAATTCGTGGTGATATCTTCAATTATCTAATTTTGATGATTATTTTTGTCATTTTTGGTGAAAAGTGATATTTTTGAATTCTTGTTGAAAACAGCAAGTCCCATTGCTTTGATACTATACATATTGTTCATTTTCTAATGATATCTTCTGTTCTTTAATTGAAATGTGGATTGCAAACAGCGGAGCTATCTCAACCGAAAAACGGCTTGTTTTTTAAAAGATGGTATATATAAATTGTATCTCTCCACTAAGTCTTTATAAAAATGAATGTTGATCACCCACATATTACATATTTTCTGATTATTACTATTTATGGTTTCTGTGTAATAAAACAAATCCGAAAATTATTTAACGTGTGGCAGCTTCCCTTGGAAACATATTTTTTTCACACACAAAAATATATTCACCGTTTTAAAAACTTTTCAGATGCCCTAATTATACACGCGAATCAAATCTTGGAAAGATTTCAAGTTGCAAATATGGCGCAGAACGCGATTTCGATCCCAACGCATACCTCGACCCTTCCAACAATTCATCATGTCCAATGCTTTCAATATTGTACCGTTTGCATTGTTCTATCTGTGCAAAAGTGTTTGATATTCTAGTATAGCGGCACAGTTCCGCTATCCCTGGTCTGGAAACGATTACTGTCTAATGTGTATTCAGTGCTCGGACAGCCCGGGGTATGGCTTTCCGCGAAGCATGGCCTTTTGATAACAGAGCATTCTATTAAGACAATCGATTCATTGTTCCCTGCATATTCTAGAAGAAGACCATATATTTTGATACTTTATATAGATTTAGAAGCTCAACACAATTCTTTAGCCAGCAAGTCTTTCTATAGTGGGATATCGACAACTTACTATTCGTCATGTGTTTTAGAAAGATAGATATTTTTTCATTTATCGGATAGCTTACACCACAGTCCATCTATGGATGGACTGTGCTTAAACCTAGTTGTAGTTTGTGGATCTGTTTATTGTGCTTGTTTTATTATATTTAGGCATTCACTTTTTCCGTTCATATAAAGATGGTCTCTCTCTCAAGTCATTATTTTTGTTTTCAAGCATATATTTGGAATGTAGTTTACAATACTGGTGACATTATGTCTCTAAGATTAACATCCTGCAGTATCAATTATTTAGCACTACCAGGAATTGAGTAGAGACGTTATGCAAAATAATGAGGTCACATGATAAGTTAGCCACGCCTCTCGTTAAATGCCTTGAATATTGCATTGGCTACATTGTCCATTCGACGGCAGTGCTTGAAATATTACAGATATACATATATATATATGAGGTCACATGACCATATATGGTCACGTGATAAGTTAGTCGTACTCTTGTGCAATGCCTTTGTCATATCACTGGTTACATGTCCTCTTCTCCAACAGCTATGTGGTTTATACCAGAGCACCCACGTACCTGGTTTTATTGACATCCGAAAAATGTGTGTTGAGATACCAGAAGAAAAAAATGAAAATTTGTACTATTATGCAAATTAGGTAAATAGTGTCTACGGATCTCAATCCAAAACTAATCAGGGTGCATATTGCCCTAGAGCATCTATGTACAAAGTTTAATTGAAATGTGATGATTAGTTCCAAGTGGTCAATCCCTTATGCCGGCATCTCATCGACTCACTGGTCCGTCCAGTGCTACTATGGAGATAATATTATCTCACCGACTCACTCACTGGTCTACCCAGTGCCATTGTCGACTCACTTCTGTCTCTCTCTGGCTCTGTCTGTCCCGTGAATATTGTTTGATAACAACAATCCTGTTCGTAAAGCCGGCCGCTTGTCTTTCCATGCCATTCTATAAATGTCGCCGTAGGTGGCGTCATGTTTTTGACTTCAGTAGGTATCCCACGATAATACGTTTTTCTGCTATATTTTCAACACAATACTATATTATAACACATTTCGTGCATAAATGAAATAAATACGGACAAAATAATTCCATTTTGAACAAATAAAGTGTTTGGAATAAATAAAAAAAATAACAAACTATATACACGCTGAAATGCACTTCATCGTAAATTTCTCAAAGTTTAGTTAGGACACACTTTTATTATCCCTTGTTTCGCGAACCCGCCGAATGAACAGGGGCCGAAAATGAAATAAAAATATAATTTTATTTCAGCGTAATTTCTTAACTTTATCTTCATTTTTTTCCGCCCACCACCTAACAAATCCAAGTTGCATTTTCGTGGCAGTATCATGATAAAAGTACTGAAGTCTTGCGCAGATGAGAAACAAGGTTATACATGGAATACAATTTTATTTCATTTTTTCTCTCCGATCAATGAACTCACTTACAATTTTTTGAGAATCACACAAATCTGATGGAAAAAAAGAATTAATTTTATTTATTTACGCCCTCCTCAAAAAATTGCCTTGTAAAAACCCGCGAAACAAGGAATAAAAAAAGTCTGACCTTACTTGAAAATGAAAGATAATGAAAAATTATAATTATTATATTATTGTGCTATCAAAATCATCTTCCGCCCGCAAAGTTTCGTATCCGTTCATACCTCTAATATGTGATGGCAATATACCTTCAGAAGTTGAGAATTCACGATGTGTGAAATATATGCAAGATTTTATTGGAAGTAAGTCATTGTTGTTGTATTTTTTTATTCTCCCTGATTATTATTACATGTATTGGGTAAATGTCAAATCTGGATTACTAAATTTGTTGTTATTTTAATCAATTCATTGACATATTTATCATGCTGTTCTTACAGGTGGTTCATATGTGTACTAGTAATATGAAACAGTGAAAGTTGTCGAGATTTTGTTATCGAATTTCTCTGGATGTAAAATTAGAGCAACTGATTACCGAGTACTCGAGAGTACTTTGCTTGCTTTCGACAGCCGAAACTCATACAAAATATCTTATCCAGCCACAGTCCCTCCACAGTCCTTTGTTTTTATTTTTTTATTTCTGTGATTTCCGTTAGTTAAAGGTCTGTTCTTTGGGAAACTCAAGTTCAGCGATGGCGTATTTGAAGAGAAGAAAGGTATTCAAAAACTCATATAGTTAGGGGGCCTGACTACAAAATGGCGGCTCCCAGTGACGAAGTCGGCGAGCCACTGTGTTGTTGTGAATATCGAAACGTTAATGGAGAAAAAAGTCACGTATTGGCTTTTTTGTGTGACTGTCAAGTTGTTGATGAGACATGTGACCGGTAAGGATTAATCATGATAAATAATAACTTATTTCGTTACTGTGCCCGTGCCTTGACAACGGTTTAACGCTTATCTGACGGGTGACGTCTGACGACGAAATAACCGAGTGGTACCTATTAATTGCAGTACGATAACAAAAATAGAAACAATTGGAAAAATAAGTCTTAAATTGGAAAGAAAATGAATATAGCCAATCATGTTTGACATTCATACCAAGTTTCAATCAAATTGGCTAAAGCAAATAACAAAAGGTTCATGTTTTGTGATTCGGTTCAACGGAGATGACTGCCAGCTAGTCAAAGGTCAACAAAACAAACAAATAAATTGACATGTATACATTCCCCGTATTTGTACCAACTTTAAACAACGAGTAGTAATCATTAGAAAAAAAAATTAGCCACCAGTCTTGTGGTGTTGTCAGTAATCATCTACATGACATTCTTTCGATTTCATTTCCACTCTTCAGTGAATCATGCCAAACTGAAATACATAAATTAGGTGTTTATTCTGTTTTATTTATCTCAGATTTTTGAAATGTCAACCAATTCCTGAAAAAAACTACAAGCTCATACAAGCTGTTGTGTGTGATAGATTACGAATCCCATCATGCCTCGGTGGCGGAGCCAAACGAATTGATGAACTTGTAGACACGTCGGCCATCTTGCCAGTCATCGTTGTGCCTGTGGCGTTATTCTGCGCATCATGGAATCTCTATACAACCCTGGTAATTCTGTTTCTTCTGCCCCTTGGTGCCCTTCTCCACTATCGCCTTGTTTCGAGACTCAAACGCCGGACTATGTTCTTCTACAGCTTTGGACTTGTGTCAGTTTTCTTTATGGGTGGCGTTTTTTATTTATGTTTAGTTCCCATGGGAACCCTTGATGACTCAGAAATAGTACTAGCAACTGTTCTCGCCACCTTGATGTTTATGTCATTTATTGTTTCAAAACGCACCCCTGGGAAGCTACAGCGGCAAAACCATGGTAACAACAGGCAACCAACTTCCCCATCAAGCAATCAGGTTCAATGTAAAGGTTCGGGAAACGAGCAGATGTACACTAATGATGACTGCCGTGGTCATCAGCTTTGGTGTGAGTTTTGCCAGTTATGGCGCCCTCCTAGGGCAGGACATTGTAAAGTCTGTCAGCATTGCGTGCACCGACTGGACCACCATTGTGTATGGTAAGTTGTATTCATATATCACTAAAATAGACAAATTTATATAAACTAAATTATTCTGTATTGTTTCCAAGAATAAGTATATAGTCATACAAACTTGTCACATGCATGTACAGGTAGACCAAAGGAGGGACATCAGTGACATTCCAGAACAATTGGGAAAGTATAACTTAATAATATACATATACGGTAGTTTGTGTGCCACAAAATTATATTTTCAAAAAAATATTAGTTCAATAAAAGATTGAATATGTCTAGCCTGACCTACATGTAGTTACTGTAAGGTAAGGACACAATAACTTGCATCTCATGTCATGCTATGAAAACCTAGAAATAATTTAACACAAAATAAAATAAAAATTCCATATACATAAATAGTGTGGCGAACCAAATTCTGTTCATGTCAGCACTGTTATATTCAGTTCGATACTAATTTAGATCAATGCTGGTTGCTATGCAAACTCATTGCCTGCTAATATTTACAAACCTTTGGCAAACTTTCAAATTCAACCTGCATGTCAATAATAAAATAATCAATATGTTCACCATAAAACTGAAGCTGCTATTTCTATTTTTGCTCTATTACACGCACATTTCAGATAGAAGTAAACATTGCATTCACTGTATACTGCGTTACTTGAATTACCAGGTACTTATTTTTGACCATCTACGTAAGCAATTGTAATACTAATACTAATAGACCTTTTTCCATTCACTGGGAGATCCTGTGTTATGTGTGAAATTGAACATAAAAAAACAAGACAAACATGAATTCTGAATATATTTTTTTGGTGTTTCCACGCTAAATAATATGATTAATCATTTGATGATGATCAATTTGGTGGAAATAATGGTATCTCAATGCAATATGGTAATATCTCTTCAAAGATCGACAATTCAACATTCAGCTATAAAAAAGAAATTTAAATTAAAAATGAAATCATTCAATTTTTGCAGCAGACATTCGTTTTCGGACTTTCACACAATAGAGCAAATATAAGATAGACAAATCTTGGCACTCTTGCTAGTATAGTAGCCACTGGATCCATGGTGTTGTCAAAGTGAATGATTTTATTCGGTGGTTAGCTGTTCATGCACGAATACTGCCTGCTTTAGAAAATTAAGGTAGACATGTATGACAGAATACCTGAAATATGCATGTGTACAACAACAATAACCTACCGGGTACATATAACTTTGCTTTTCGTACACAGGAATGTAACTATATTGTGCCAAATTTGATGCTTAATTGAGAGTTTTACAGATACATCAAATTCTAGTCATTATCATTTTGTGTTTGGTTCGAGGTATGTGTGAGGCTCGAAATCTGTTCATTTGTTTGGACCAATTTGCAGTGTGCTTCATCAATTTGTATATGTATATTTGTATAGTGTGCATCAATCCATGGCAGTTTTTATGTGAGCAGCGAAGAACAGAATGTGAATAACACTTACTCTACAAGGCTGTAGATGGCCAAGTGACAAGCCAACCAGAAACTCATTTCATCACTTATATTCTAATATTCCATTAACTACTGTTGTTTTTATCAGGATTGACAGTTGTATTGGAGCACACAATCACAGGTCATTCATCTTGTCATTGGTGTTTATAATCATCACAGGATGTTACGGGATCTACCTTGGTGTACGCAGTCTGTGTACTTACCCTCTGTACATCTTTACTGTAGAATGTGATAATACCGCATATCGTACCAGAAGGTTAGTACATCTATTATTTGTTGGGATACACTAGTTTTATGCACCATAGTACATATTTACATGTCTATTCTCTCAGTGAAGGATCAAGTTGTGTTGACATATAGAAAATTACACTTTGGGCCACTATTGCCTATCGTTGTACGCTGTACGAAGGGCTTCTTAAATCAACAAAGATGCTATTTACATAAAAAACAAGAATCTGAATAATACAGAGTGACAGCAGAGTTTACCATCAGTGGAAATGCTATTGTCCATATCTACAACAGATTCTGTCAGTTTTTTTTTCAATAGAACGCATTTCATGAAACAATTCCAACATAATTATGTTTCCCATATGTTAATATAGTTCACCTTGCTTCAGTGCATGTAATTGGGCAAATCACAGGACAAACTATATGTGCGATCCTCACTAGAAGTTAATGTACGAGCATTGAGGGGATTAGCTAAAATGTTCATTATACATTGTATAGGGCGGGGGGGGGGGGGGGGTTAAACTATTCACCATCAATGACCATGTGCTAGCAAACATGTACTTTGCATTTATTAGACACCTCAATATTATTAATCTGTTTTACTTGGCTACAATATAAACAATGTCATGTAATTACGCATATACAGGTATATAGTACAACTACAGTCAAACCTGTGTTAATGACCACCTGGATACAGCGGCCACCTGCCTATAGCGGTCGCAACCGAACAGTCCCGATGAAATTTATATGTAAAGTACCCTGTATTCAATGACTACCAGTCTAAGGCGGCCAATGGCTAGGCTTCAGTGACTGCAGTGATCAGTTGAACTGCATAACAGACATAGTTCTCGGATGTCTTGCCTTAAACCTCAGCCAACTAATAAGCTCCAAAGATCACAAAGGACAAAGTTAGCACATTTTCACAACTTTTATTCAACTGATGGCTTCGGCAATTATGTTTTATTCAGTTAACCACGGTCAGCACACTGATGGTCTGGGAACACAAAAAAACATAATTAAGAATTTGAAAGTGTCCTGATAAAAACATGCTGTCATAAATGTTTTGTCAAAATATGTATACCACAGGAATAACTTTTTACCAGGGGTTTTGTTCAATGAATCGAGCAACCACAACGACCCGCAAACATTTTGTGAATCGCCGGGGCACAGTCCCTATGTAGCCAGGGTGAATCAGAATGTCGATCGAATTGATTACCAACAAAAAACATCACAACTCACTTGTTATTTAGTATTGATATTTATTCACTTTGAACTCATATAAATATCGACAAATATACAAGTAACTGGAACTGATAGCAAACGGAAAAAATCAGTGCAACGTTCTTGTTCTTCCGGGGTTATGATAACTCGGGTCGAGTCGTTTCTGTTACTGTGTATCGATCACTGTGGGTGAATGTGTGTGCAATATCGTCTTGTTGTCCAACTAAATTTTTTTCAATCGCTACTGCCTCGGTACATGTAACAATAGATGCTTCTAACAATGATGTTAAATTGACCTCAGTTCCCCGGCCAAAGTCGCCAGGCATATTTCACATGTTTCTATTGTTGCAGCAGTACAATAACATGGAAGTCGCCCAGACTCGATTGCGCAAAGTAATGTTTTGAGGGATCAACCATTTCGCAAGTGAGGAAGGTCAGGACGATTTTTGAAAAAAATAAACAAAATGTCAAGGTTATTGTGATTGGGGAGGAAGCTTTCAAGTTGTCACGTAACTGGAAGGAGATCCATCACTACAATAGATAAGTGTTCTTTTTGTATACGTTGTAGGGATCAATAAAGCACTGCTAACTGACCCTCTCCCTTCTCCTTGAAAGAATTTGCTATAGCCCAGAGACATTCCGATTTATTAGAACAGTTACTAAGTGTACGAGACACAATAATTATTAAAAGAAACATACAAATTCAGAATAGCTAAGCAAAGCAAGCCAAGTGATTTCTTTAGTAGGATATGATACTAAAACTGCTGCTGAACATGAACTTTACTGTACAAATCTTCAAACATTTAATTTTCGATACTACTCATTATTGTGCAATGATCAACTTTTGTGAAATGATTTTAATTTACATAAAACAATTTAAAATTGAATAAAAAATCAACATTTTTTATTTGTAATAAAATGTTTGGATACTGTGTACAGTAGTGTGATAATGTGTGTCAAATGGGGTTGCCAGATCTGTTTTAATTAATATTTATGAATAAATTAGTGAACCTGTATAGAAAGGCCACCTGTCTATAAAGGCCAAAATCTTAAAGTCCCATGGGTGGCCACTATAGATAGGTTTGACTGTACTGTAAAAAATACATAAGTTTTGGCAAAAATCTCTTTAAAAAATACGTAATTCTCATATTTCAAATTTTGACAAAATCTTAGAATTAATTAAGTGTTTTTTTTCTCATTCTTCTTTGTAGAACTGGTCTGATCTATGCATCATGTCTGTACACATCACTAACACTGCTGGGATTTATGATGCTATTAATACAACAATTGTATCTAATATCACACGGCATTACATACAGGGAATACAGGTTTCAGGACCATACACATTACAGCAAAAACTACCTCAGGAATTGGATCAACTTTATATTCAACCGAGAAAAAAGACATTTAGAAATTGTCTAACAGAATGTGACAGCAGATCTGTTATTACAAAAATGGTCTTCTGATACAGAATTTTAAAACTTGAAGATGCATTTTTGAATGTCCATGATTTTAGGATGTGAATATTATTTTGATGCCCTCACCAAATGATACCTCAACAAATTACTTGTTTTATGAGCTGATGAATGTATATTGCAGTTCATCCAACTGTTGAGAAAATATTATATGCATATGCATTTTTGTTATGATCCAATTCAAAGTGGCCGAATGGTGGCCATTTTAGTGCTAAAGATTTATCAATTTCTGCCATTCCAGAACTGGTTGTGTATAGACCCATTCTGTTCAAACTTTCCACATGGAATGAGCATTATAGGACCTTGATGCATTTTGTTTTGTTCTTCAGATTTGTTTCAAAATGACCATTGTCAACTGTTTTGTTTTTTTGTGAATGCTGTTACAGAGCCATATCTATTACATGCCCTGTCATCTATATTGACATTGTATTCAAGTTCAGATTCGAAATGGCTGTCTATTGCACAATGTAGACTGTCATGATATGACTCAGCGTCCCAGTTCTCAAACACACTTTTACAGCTTTTGTAAAAATTTTGTACAAAGACATACCTGTAGTGAGGTGCATGTATCCTTCACTATTACTATCAAAGTAATACATGGTCCTGAAAAATATTATTACATTATTATATATTTACATATTTCAAAGGAAATTCATCCTCAATATGGGATCCGTAGCAACGTGTGTCAAATACATTGTTTGTTTACACAAAATTCATATGCTT